CAGCAGGGACCCTTATCACATTCCCAGTGACTGTGGTGTGTACAGCTTGAGTGTGTGGAACCGGGGCTACAACTACTTGATGTGCACGACGATAGCGATAACGGTAATACCACCACAGGATGAAAGCAATCACAAAAGTGATCACTATGACCGTCCTTTGAATTGAAAACATATATTAATAAAAGGAAATACGCAAAACATCTTATTTTAATAAAGTGTGAACTTTAACTTCAAGTATAGACCTGGAGAATGTTGTCAAGTTCATTCCTTATATCATTATTGTCAAAGAAATTATGCAATGAGGCAGGTTCAGATTAATTTTGATTTGTACTTACCAGATGTACCATCTTGTGTAAACATATGTACAACAACTTTGAGTCCCACAACAGTACTTATTGCTAGCACAGCTAAAGGTAAAAATTAAAAAGACTTAATTTGCAGAAAACAACAGAAGATCATCCTTAATGCTGGCACGTTTTGTTCCAGAATTACGTACATGTCCACGTCTGTAAATTACATATTTCTCCCCAATTTACTCAGTATTACTTATCTTAAAGAAGAGAAGAAGTGTTGTTAGAATTCTTTAACTGACAAAATAACATCAAGTTGCTTTCAGCAATGTGAAAATAGGCGACATGATCCATATGCAGACCGACTCATACTTTCATTGATTAAAAATGAACAATTAAAAAGGAAAGAAACCATGAAAGTATATCACAACATTACTCTGTCTTCAATTCTCTTAAAAATTTGCAATTAATGTGAAAAAATTTATACATTACCTACCTGTAATAGGTAGTGGTGTATCTGCCATTCCTGTGCCTTCGATACGAACATCTTTTACGGCCATAGCACTAAAAAAAAATAATTTAGGAACACTTTGTTGTGAGATTGGACGTCAATATAAATAAAATGATTATACTGCAATTTGTGTGGAGTAAAAGCTAGGTAAATATATCTTGATTGTGAAGATTACCTCTATCAAAACTGCCAGAAATATCAGACAAACGAACGCGCTCTTCATAGTGTTAGTTTAACTTCAAACTTATGGGAAGTTCTACCACGGACCAACACAGGTATGTTGCCAAGTACGGGGAAGCACGTACAAGTAAATAGATACTGACTTCCGCCTTAGTTAGTCGCCGCGTTCTCGTGGAACCTCAAATGTTTGTTTATCTGTTGACCGAATCTTTCCGACGCTATTCGAGTTTAAAAACTTTCGGAACATTCCGAAACTCTAGATACGGATGCATTGTGGGTAATCTTTTCCATTCAAGATGGCGGCGCGTTTTCCAGCTTCTGCGTCAATGCAGAAAATGGCAAACAACCCGCAACAGTCCTCCATGTTTCAGCGTTCTCAGTTCCAACAGTCGCCATATGGAATTTCGGTGAGTTATTTGGTTTTTGATTCCTTTTGCTTACTTTTTAACCGATAACATTGCACTGATTATAAATGCACGAAAAAAATCTTTTGAACAGCAAACACGAGGACAGATTCATGTATGTTTCTCAAAGGTTTATTTCCGCGTGATCATTGACGATCTCTGTGGATTGCTGGAAATTATAAGAAAACCCGGCAAGATTTGCGTATAACCCCACTCTGATTATGCATTCAATTCTTGGATAAAGGAAGCAGAAGCAAAACAACAGATTTCCTTTGGGACTACGGCTTTGTTTTTATTGGTATGGGGTTATACGAAAATTTTTCCGAAAAACCCTCTTATGTAGCAGTGATTACAGGGAAACCAAGTTCAAAAGGACATATTTTGAAAATGAGGGAACGGTAGCATTAGCACTAGGTAGTTTGATCATGAGTTTTCATCCATATTGCTATGTCAGTATTTCTAGCCTTAAACATAAAGTCACTTCATTTTTTGGTAAATTATACTTAGAATTTCAGATTTAATTCAATTTAATATTTTTATATTAACTTTTGTACCCTGATAATTGTTTCTTAATATTGTAGATATATTTTGTTAGCTTACTGGGGGGGCATCCCTCGTATGGTGTCTAGGATGCTTTTGGATGCTGCCTCTCCATCATCAGTATTATTATTCATTATTTATTTATTTATTATTAATTATTATATATTTATTTATTTAGTAATTTAGATTTGGAGAAACTGTAATAAATAAAATGAAGACTTTGTTCAATAATTCATCACATATGACATAAAAATCTGGCTAGAACAAAGAAAGTGGCATAGGATGCCAAGCAGAGTGTATCACCTATGTGCTTGCCACATTTTGACATGTTCTGTGATCTATTACTGTATACACTTATGGCATCATGGAATCTGTTTGTTTTGTTTGATAAAAACCAATGAGTTTTTTATGGTGATAAGTCATCCATGGGTCTGTCTTCCTGATAAGTAGCAACCAATCAAGATGTATAATTCAGCATATCACATAAGTAACAACCAATCAATGATAGATAGATACTTTATTATAAACACCTTGCAGCCATAGGCTGAATTACGGAATATTTACAAATACAGATGATAAAAAAAGGAGGTATGAATTATTACAACTTCATCACTAAGAAAGAAGGAAAATTATCTACATCTTATAAATATGGCTAAAAATAAAACTGTTCTTCAAGCGCACCTCAGTGCATATCTACAACTCTTCCTTTGGGGGAGGAGGCTGTGGAGTCTATGGGTGGGGTTACGGACTATCTCATCAAACAGATTGGTTGAAATTTTTTCCCTCCTCTTGTGAAGTTTTGTTAGGCCAGCTGTTTCTAGTGCTACACTATATGACAGGTCAGGATAGATGATTCTGAATGCTCTTCTTTGGATCCATTCCAAATCTTCGCTGATGTAGTTTGGTAGAGAACAGTGGAATACACATATCACATAAGTAACAGGACTTGTGTATTCCAAGATGGGCCTAATACATGTCACATAGAATTGCACAAGTTCGCTTGGTGCAACTCCAGATCTCTTGAGTTGTCTCAAAAAGTAGAGACGAGAGGAACATTTTCTACTTAGTTCAGAGGTGTGCATGTTCCACTTTAAATCGTGGCTAATGGTCACGCCTAGCAATTTGGCACTGGTGACTAATTCAAGGGGTTTGCCATTTAGGACTAGGGGTTCAAAATCGTAGTTGCTGTTCGAGAATCCAATTCGTAGTTCTTTGCACTTGGCCTCATTCAGTTGGAATCCATCGATACTTGCTTGTCTTGAAAGGTCATCCACAGCTTTTTGGAGTTTGCTCTCACGACCCTTAGTAACTATTTCGGAACAAGATGCGTCGTCCACGTATTTCCACAGGTCAGCTGGGGTGTAAAGTCAAGATGTGTAATTCAGCATATCACATAAGTAACAACCAATCAAGATGTATAATTCAGCATATCACATAAGTAACAACCAATCAAGATGTATAATTCAGCATATCACATAAGTAACAACCAATCAAGATGTATAAGTCAGCATATCACATAAAATTTTCAAGACATCATAGTCACAAGATTCTTGATAATAAAATATGACTGGAATATTTTGTGTTTGTCCTGGAATGCTCTTGTGATATTAGTGTGAAATTTGCTTGGTTAAGCTTAATTTTCAATCTCTTGTGGTTTTCAGCGTCCAGCCAATAGTACCAATGCCACCATGGCAATGCGCATGCAGGGCAATTCAGGATTGCATCCTTATGGTCCAAATGTGCCTCGTGCAGGACTAGTGCCAGGTGCTGCTGCAGCGCTAGAGCAGGCAAGACGGAGACAGGATGCCAAGAATAGGAGAAGGTTTGTACTGAGTTCGGACTAAAGCGATTCTAGTTGTAGGAATTGCTTGGTTAACCCTTTAACCCCTATTAGTGACCAAAAGAGAATTTCTCCTTAGAATATCAAGCAAACAAGTGATGACTGTATGGCAGACAGTAAGGAAAATTACTAATTTAATTTAATAATAAGTTCTTATATAGTGCATTAAAATTGAACTTTATGCACTTTACAATTACAATTAACAACATTTAATTAAAATCCTATACATGCAATTATCGTTACTCTATCTAAACTAACGAAGTATTACAAGTTATACATATATTTGACAATGTACGATACCGAAAAATCTGGTGGCCTAATTTTTGAAAAGATAAGTTTTCAATAAGCATTTAAAGGAGTCAACAGATTCAGGGTTTTTTATGCATTCAGGTAGTTGATTCCACAAATATGGTGCAGCTTTGGAGAATGCTCTTCGCCCATACGTTTTAGTTAATGAGATCTGGAAGTCAAAGGGTTAACTGAAATTTACCCTATGCAGTGACAATTCCAACAAAGTGGAGATTTAAATCAAGCTTGATTATCTAATTTCCTTTTTAGAAAGAAGAAGATGGCTGACAAGATCTTGCCTCAAAGGGTAAGATATCCTCACAGCTGAGATGATTGTATTACTTATGTCACTGAATGGGAGCTTATATATTTTGTTGACCAAATTTACATTTGTTTTTGTAACAGGTGCGAGATCTTGTACCAGAATCACAAGCATATATGGACCTCCTTGCCTTTGAACGGAAACTGGATGCAACCATAATGCGCAAGAGGTTAGACATTCAGGAAGCTTTGAAAAGGCCAATGAAGGTAAGAGGATTGCTTTGTTTCAAAGTAAAATATTGATTGGCGTACTAGTCAGTGAATCAAATGATGATATTCATATATATGATCTTTATATATGATATAAATGAATAATATTGCTTATCATATTCTAAGAATAATATGATAGATATATTGAAAATTGTTTTTTTTTTTTGGTTTGTATTTTTTTTTTAGCAAAAAAAGAAATTGCGAATCTACTTAACTACAAACTTTTATGTGCCAAGACCAGAGAGTGAAGTAAGTTATCTGAAAGCTTATCCTCGGCAAAGAAGTTGTGATAGTTTTCCTAGCTATTAATTTTCCATGCAATAGCATTTATTAGCATACATAATTTTCGCAGCACAGGATGAAATCTGGTAACATTAATACTTAGTTACAGTGGTTAATTTTCGGTACCCTACCCTCAAATTGGTACACGAATATCAAATGGACAGGTATGGATAAATGATTCCAACTCTTCAAAACATTTTTTGTACACTAGGATGAAGAAAATATTGTTCCTTCATGGGAGCTAAGAGTGGAGGGTCGTCTTTTAGAGGAGGTATGATAAAAGTGCAAACTCCATGATACAGTATTCTCATTTTGACATATGTGGAACTTTTGCTAATTATTTTGTCCTGAAAAAGTGGTGTGTCCGTCTAAAATGGCTTCTTATAAGTTGCACATGGATTACAAGTAGTAATTCAGTCTATAACAGTGTCAAATAGAGGTGTGATTGACTACCTTTATGGATCAAATATTCTAAAGTGGCCTGGTGAAAATTAATGTGATTACAGATAAAGTTGGAAACAAATTAGTTGCATTTGGCCCCTTAAAGTTTGTTGAGTCCAACGCAAGTGATTAATACATTTGACTTTATTTAGTTGTATGACATTAAGTAAGGGCAAGTGGACATGATTTTGAATCTACCATTAACCTAAGAGTGCTAGAACTCTATGATAAAACCTCTTGAAGTGCCTGCAAAGTATACTTGTAGATTTGGATTGTCAAAGGGTTCAATTTCGTTTGCATCAGCTCAATAAAGGTGTCCACTGAATACAGGTTGGTTTTCTGGAAAATTTGGGGTGTTATTTTGGGTTGCAAGATGGTGTTTGTTTTAGAAAGTTTTCACTGTCCAAAGAAAGTGTTTCCCTGAATTTTACCAAATGGTTTTGTGTCATGGCTATAGATGCAGGCACCAAAGACTGATGGTCCTAGACAGAAGAGGAAGTTCTCAACATATTTCAAGAGCCTTGTGATAGAGTTGGACAGAGAGTTATATGGTCCCGATAATCACCTAGTTGAGGTATGATGTAATAGTGATAAAAGTGATATGACCTAGGATTTGGTAAACCAAAATGTATATTATTCATTACATTTAATAAATAGGAACTATTAAGAGACATTTTATTTTGAGTACTGCAAGATATCCATCAATGCATGGGTTTCAATTCACTTTTCTTGCTGATTTGGTCTAGGAAGCTTGCACTTCTCTCCAAAAACCAATCAGATGCTAACTTAAACTAACTGCAAGTGTATCATTCTCATTTTCCTGTGCTTAAAGGCATTTCCACATTTTCACCCCGACTTCTCAATTGTTTGGATGGCCTTTAGAATGACTCTGTGTTGGTTCTACAAAG